ATTCATTAGTTCAAATTTGTGCGGATTTCTATTGCTCTCAATAGGGTTTTATTTGGGTAAGATTCTTAAAGCAAGGGGAGGGATTTGATATCTCTCCAGGGAAAAGTGGGGTTGATGAATAGAATTGAATTAATAATTATAAATTCACGGGTTTTATCTATATAAAACCCGGATTTTTGCGGGTTATATATATATAAAACCCGCAAAAATCAGGTTTTATATACTTAGATAAAACCTGGTGAATATTTAATCATCAATTCAATTGAATTCTATTCATCAGCCCCCCTTTTCCCTATAGAGATGTCAAATTCCCTCCACTTGCTTTTAGATTCTTACCCAAATAAAACCCTATTGAAAACAAATTTAGAATCTTTGCTTCGACAAACCCATAATATTGTTCGTTATAGCGCTTCTACCTTCGGCCCACTCTTTCCAAATACGATCGAACTGCCAAAATGGTGTTGGGTCTTGTGCCTACAGTATATTCGGTATACGCTCAATACGCGTGTTTCAAAACTCTTTGTTTATCTCTGTCTAGTTTGAGCACTGCAAATCCCAATGGTTCGTCATTTGCTTGCAAAAATTCTCTTTCCATAAGCCTAATTTTCATCTGATTCCGGTTGCCTGGAAGCATTTTCTTCGTCGCTACATAGGTAGTTCACGTTTCAATCTCATTTTCATATGGACTCCATGGTAACAACCGTTATTCTCTTAATTCAATGCAAGTATTTTCAACAAAAAAGTAGATTTAATTGTTTTTCAATCCTTACAAATTTGAACTAAGTCAGTTAATTACCTCGAACGTCGGTTTCTTAGCGAGATACATCCCTCGGGAGCGTTGCCCTCAGAAAGCATCCCTCGGGCCTACGGCCCTCGGGATCTTTCTTCGGGACACGCCCCTCGGGTTGTATCTCGCTAAGAAACCTAGTTCTCGGTAATTAACTCTTACTTAATAACTGTTTGAAATACGTTTATTCACCTAACCAAGTTTGATTTTATGCGAATACAAGAAATCAAAAAGAGCTTTAATTAAAGTTTAAAAAATAAATGAAACCAATTGTATCTGTTTTAATCTAAGTTGTGCTTTTATGTAGACGAAAATACTCAACACTCGAGACTAGTTACAACCCGCAACACACATTGTTCTCTCTGGCCAGTGCCACTATGTGGTAATCGCAAGGAACATGCAGAAACACATGATGATTCAATTGATGATAAACTTGTTAATTTGGATGAAGTGCGACCGGAACCAATAATTGCTGGAGAAATTATAAAGATTTCTGAAAACTCTAATTTTAGGAATTATCAACGCTCTGTTGAAGATTTTCAGATTCCTCTTTCAGAACGGTTGCTATCGTATACCATTCATCAGCATCTAGATGTCACTGCGATTGTAAATCCAATGTCAGTGTTTTCGTCAACCCCCTCAGTGTCTTCGATATGTCTAACTGAAGATTCGAACGATATTTTTTCTGAGTCATGTACGTTTTCTCCTGTTGATCAGCTGACTAATACTGAGTTAAGAGTGGATACCACTAGTGATGACAGTAGCGAAATTTCTGCTACCGATCTTGGAAGAACACCGAACATACCATCTCCTGACATATCTAATACTTCAGAGCTGTTGGACAAAATGATCACAATCCCTCCAAATGCGAATCAAAGGTATTTGTATATTAAACTTTTGTGCCCGATGCGAATTACAAGTATAATTTGTGTTTTATAGTTTGAGGTGTTTCAAAGAAACGATGCGACAAGAGCCACCTTTTGTTGCAAATTTCTAAATACAGGACAAATATTGCAAAAAGCGCATTGATTTGATACTTTTAAGCAATTTATTGGTCGAAATATAGGTTAACAATTTGTCGTCTACCTTTTCATATATATTTTAAATTTTTAAGAAATTGAAACTAAATTTTTAATGCATGTTCGATTTCTGCCAGAGGACTTATATTGTTACAATTATCGCAGCCATTCCTGGTCGGGTGTAAAAATGTAATAAATTTACACTCGGAATTTCTATTCACAAAAACCTTTCAACATTTAATTCTTCCGAGTAGGATGCCCGAAATCCTGAATTTACCCATACACTCTACGACAGCCTTCTGATCAAACTTGTTTATGGTCCCCCACCAATGTTCTGCCTTAGTCGTAATCTCGTACCCAAAATATGCTCTCGTTAGCCGACCTTCAACCGTACACGATCAGTTTATTTCTACCAACCAATGGTCGTTTGCAGTATATCAATTCTCGATTCCTTCTATGAGCTTCTCCATTCACATCCGCTCACGTTGCATACGACGTTGGATATAGGATTGCTTCACGCACCATGATGTACCTAGTAAGCTATATGGATCTATATTATTAATTCCTCCGAAATCACTTAATTTCTTCAGGTATTTTGCAAGTTCTTTAATTGATCATAATGGTGGTGAAGTTATCTTAACAAGCTCAGGAATTAAGCTGGTCATTCCAGAAGGAGCAATCGATGTTGGAAAAACAGAAGTAGTTTACCTTGCTTTGCTTGGCAACTCAGAGTACGTCCCAAAAGAATTGGATGATGATGAAACCTTGCTCGCTCCCGTTGTGATGTGCGGTCCACATGGACTGCGGTTCAAGAAATACGTTCTTCTAATCGTACCACATTGTGTTGTAGTTTCTGATGAATTGGAGACAAAATTTCGAGGTTTGAATTTTAATCGTGTATGGGCGTTGTGTTACCTTTATCTTTCTGATCGATTTTGAATATTAGCGTAGTTAATTTATATTCGTTTTGTGATGGAAAAACTTATTTATTTAGCAATGCTTTTGATCCGTATCATTGCAAATAATATATATGCATCTTTTACTCTTAAATTAAACCAAATATATTGAATGTTTTGGCTTGCAAATTGACGTAGAACTGCATGTAGTAAAATTTAAATGTTCTTGAAAAACCCTCTTCTAAAATCATTAATAATTCATGAATCAAAAAGAAAAAAAATCGATATTTACTTAGTGAAGGAAAACGTCCAACAGGACACTTTGAAACTTTCTAAAGTATTAATACTTTGAAATCAGAATTTCCCTAATTTTGAAGTATGCTATTACTTTTGAAACAACGTAAATTACAAGGTGTGGGAATTCAGTTCAAATACGTGACTTCCGACGCTACCAGGCAATTTCAAACTCATTAATAATTCTCATCCAACCATGTTGCTTTATTTTGTTTGCATGATAATACTAGAAACCTGGTAAAGTATGTTCATCCAGTTCTAGGACTTGATAAAAATTAATTTAGCCCTTGCATACTGGATCAAACTTCAAGTAGTGATTTATTGGCGTATGAGATGTCATTTCAAATCCTTTAATTCGGACAGGACAACATTTTAAGACTTCGCATTTTGATTCAAATTGTGCGGACATGAAATCTTGTTCAGTCCCTCATAGTTGGATTTTAAATATTACTTCAAAGTTTGCGTGCACTAGTTAACAAAGTTTTCTTGCTGCATGCTCGTCTTTTCAAAACGCCACTCGAACTTTGAAATGGCGGTAAAGTCCCCAGTCTTGTGTTTGAACTACTACTTATAAAAAACAAAAGAAAAGCTATCAATTTGTTATAGAAAAGGTGTCCATGAAAGGTCTGCTACTTCTAGTTGATTTTACTGTGTTGCCCCTCAAAACAGTAATTTGTATTATTTTTTAACTGAATATATTTTTGTTTATTAATTTTATCTGATAGTTCTGTGCAGCGATACAGCGCCGGAAATTGTCCCAGACTGGAAAGAAGTTTTCAATGTCGATGAGAAACCCAACAAAGATGTGTTTTGTTGCATGGGAGAGCAACATTTCAGCCTATATCTTCTTCATTTCTCTTGGTACACTATTTCTGGAGAAGGATCTGCCAGAAATTTCAGTGTAGCAGCATACCATACGAGCCTTCATCAACCAAATGAGGATTTTAAAGTGAGAGTGTATTTCATTCCAATTTCGAAAAACTCTTCTGCAGGTCAGCAGGTAAGGTTTATTCTATATTCTTAGCAATCAAAGGTTTTGGTAATTAAACGAATGTGTTTTTCTCCATTCACAATGGAATAGAGAACAAACAATGGTCTGGTTACCTGAAACAATACGAAAACGCTACGAAAACTGATTGGTGTGGAGGGAGCATGAGTTTGGAAAATATAACGACAACGTCAATAACGACGTGGTCATCAATAATAGCAATTATACTCTATTTATAAAATGGGAAGCATCACTTCCGGTTAAATGGCGGACGACGGCGATTGGCTGAGAAGCACTTTCGGCGCTCCATTATTTTCCATTAATGGCATTAGCGGTCGATGGGGGAAAACAAACACATGCATTTTAAAACAAAACAGTAACACTATCTGCGAATGGTTTCTAGTCGAAAAGAAGGAATACATTGGTATTTTTTTTTCTTTGACCAAATGTGTACCACGCTACTAATATGCATTTCAAATCATGCATTCCTTTTTTGTTTCAAGTATAAATGCCTATAATTGCCATATAATAAACTATCTATTAAATAATTAACCTCGCTTGCTTGGTATGTAAAGAGAAATATCGGACCTTAGTCTTTTTGTACAAACTTCGCCCAACGGACTCGGTTTGTGCAAAAAGACCTCGTTCCGAAGTCGTGTGGGGTGATTAATATTAATTCAACGACTATTGTTACATAATGGTTGTTTGTAAAAAAGATAATTTTTTGTTAAATAACAGAGAGTTGATGAATCTGAAAAGAAACTTCAAGGAACTCTGAGTGATGGGCAAAAAATAAAGATCTTTCACAAAAAGGGTGGTCATATAAAAGTCGAGGCAACTGATATCAGTGACGGATGGCAAATAATTGGTGAAAATATTCAGGTAGTAAACAAAGTGGGGGGTTCTGTAGCGGGTGGTGCGTTAAGCAACTCGCTTGTAATGTATTTAAAGAGTGTGGACGAATGATTACTAGCATGTTAATAAAATGTTTACAGTTTAATACTTTGCTGGTGTTTATCCATTTCCCACATATATTCCTTCTAACAAACAGTTGAGTGAAATTTAACCACTGATCTGAAATAAGACTGGATAACGCATCTATAGTATACAAAAGTGAAGCCGGAAATCACTGGCCACCACCCGAGTTATAAAGTTATAAAGCCATAATACTCCAAATTTTTTGCTCACTATTCTTCGTGTATGCTTCTATCTTTGTGATTGTAAAATTGGCCCGGTCGGAAACGTAGCCAAGGCAAAAAACGCGAGAAACTACCGTCTGTAATACAAATCTATACAAAAGTGGGACCCCAGAATCGGGTGGCGGCCGGTAACTTCCGGCTTCACTTTTGTATACTATCGATGCGTTATCCAGTCTTACTTCAGACCAGTCACCAGTGATTTTAACCAGTGATTTTAATACGTTCTCGATATATATTCTACTAAAGTTGTTGTAATGCTTGTGAGACGTAGATATTGTACTTATACGCATACGCAGTGAGAATTTTGTGTTACGACAATTCCTGACTTATAGGAGTTTGCAAAGATTCCGGGTGAATTCTACAGAGAATATCCCAGTTTATTCAAAATTACCCAAAATCATAAACGACAATAGAAATAGAGTATAAAAGGTGTATTTGAATTCATCGTATTTACAAGGTTTTATTAGATTATCTTAGAGTGTCCACTACTTTAACACCATCCTTGGTTTTCCTTGGGGATGTATTCACCATGCTTAGAACTATTAAACAAGGAATAATAAAAATCCAGACATACATATGAAAATTTTTAAACAGAACTAAGCAATTGCTGTGCCCAAGCTAAAATCATTGTCAACGCATTATGGATACTGAAATTTCCATAAAATTTTCATCTATTTTCCAGTTCCACAAAAAGTTCCATTTCATTTCAAAAATGCCATAAAATATGGAAATTTTCATGAAAGTGGAAGCACTGTCAGATTCAATAAAAACGAAAATGAAACAGGTTACGAAGTTGCATACCAAATTAGAAACAGCTCAACACTGACGTCATCGTTTTTAGTTTAATAAAATTTGACAAACAAAGGAAACTCAATCAAGTTTCTGAGCCGACTAATAGAGTAATTTTTTAATGTATATTATTTGGCCGGTAATGGCTGTAAATACGTTTATTTATGCTTTTCAGACCGAAGGTTATAAAGAACTTTGTCACAGTCTTTACGAATCACCCAACCGGACATTCCGTTTTGAACACGTTGCCCCGAGACCAGAACGAATATCCTGCACGTTTACAGTTTATCAAGATGAATGTAAATTTGACACTCCTGTCGATATTAGTGTGTCGCTGCATTTTGAGTCCGAGGTAATTGTGTTCACTCGATAATATCATAGTTTTTACAACTATTATGAGACCAGTAACAAATTGTTTTAAAAATAATTTCGTTCTTTTGGATATTTTTTGTAAAAAGCTGTATTAGTGTAGGGTTTTGAGTGCAATTTGGAAAAACATGCACGACTCGAGTGAGTTTCTCAAAGAAGATCAAAATTGCACAAGTCTTTGAAAAACTCATGAGTGTGTTGCACGAGTAACCATACTATTACTTGTTAATAATATGAAAAGTTTACACGCTTCCTTAAAGGTGATCTACAGTCCGATCTGCGCATGTGCACAAATGAGCCCACTTTTTATGATACAAACAGTTTAACTATGTTTTGAATTCTTGAAAAGCCTGATTGTTGTTTCTTGATCATTTATTATACTCTAGAAGCTTGAAAATATAAATAGTTGTCGAATAAAGCTCAATATTTTGGACACAAAAATGTAAACAAAGGCTTTGTTTACATACGGACTGTAGATCACCTTTAATATGTCAAGCATTTATAGGTATGGTATGGCTAGTTCACATTGTTAGTCGAGAATGGGCTAGTTTATATTTTATGGCTATTTTACATTGTTCGAGTTTATAGTGTCTTTCAAGCGGAATTTTTTGGTGATATTTTCGTATTTCTACTGCAAATACTCGCGGAGTTCTTTATAATAACGTCGGAAATCTCAAGGCCGGACGGCATTGAATCCATTGATAAAACCATTTATCGTAACTGAACAATTCGGAAACTTTCGTAGATGCGCGGGCTTTAGAACAAAGAGCCTGTTCGCAGGGAGAAGTGAATCGTCCACTCTATATATTTGAAATACTCATTAAAAATTCATAAACCTTGTGGCAAATCATGTCAGCCATAACATGTCACGTGGAGTGACTTTATATCTGATAAAACTCATCTTCATTAGTATTCTTTATATAATTTTTCATCCTAATTAGTATGATTATATAATTGTTCATCCTAATTAGTATTCTTTTGTGGTCGTATTTTAAGCTATGCAAAACACGCCAAAAATTGTACAAATTACGGAACATTAGTTCAAAAGTTAGTGAAAAATGGTATGTCCGAACATTTCCCCTCCCCCTAGCTATCATAGTCCCCCCCCCTCGTGCCAACGATTTTGGCAAAGAAATATTAATTAATTAACGACTGAAATGTCCGTCGGGCACGACATCGGCCACGCCCTTTTGTTCGGGCAAAACAAGCTCACACCCCCCAGCCGTAAGTTACGGCCTTGAGCATTATGCAGTAATAGATTAAATTATATATTATAAAATAGCATTTGTAAATTCTGAACGCTGATTGGCTAAGAGCCGTGTTGGTATAACTCATTAATAGCGAGCTTAAGCATGTAGGACGGCAACACGACGACGACGGCCAAAACAAATTCCGTCAAATAAATGATAGTAAAGAAAACTTGTCGTATATTATAATTCGTATGAATTTAATACAGTATAAGAAGCTGAAAACATTGGCTTTTTGTTTGGGAAGAGTTCTACTGACCGAATTTTAAGTTGCGCTTGTTACGGCTTGAAATGCAGGCGTTGCATAAAAGATGTGAAAATCCGTGATTTGCCGTTGTTAACAGAACGACGACCACGTTTGAAACTCCCCTGGGACTTTAATTATTTACTTCTTTTCATTGACTCATTGTATTTGTTGGCGTCGTCGTCGTGTTGCCGTCCTACATGCTTAAGCACCCTAATGTCAACACGGAAACGTCGGAAAATTTATTTCTCTCATTTTTTCCGTATTGATATACAGTTATATCGTGGAAATTGGGAAAACTCGAAATTGTCTGAAAACAATCCGCCTGTGACTCCGCCCTTCGGGCGTCGTGTTTCCACACAAGTTCTCGTTTTCCCAATTTCTACTCGTGTTGATATAACTGTATATCAACACGGGAAATGTTTTATATTTGTTAAATGGTTCCAGGGTCTTTTTTAACGTACAAGCTGGG